CTCTACCACTTGAGCCACAGCCCCACTTCCAGCTTTTTTTCTTTTTGCTTATGTGGTGCTGAGGAATCGAACCCAGGGCCTCAAGCATGCAAGGCAAGTGCTCTACCACTGAGCCACCTTCTCAGCCCCTAATTAAAATGTTATTTATGTTTTAAGTTAATTTTCCCATTCTGCCAAGGTTAGTTTACATTGATGCTGGCAGCTTGGCAAATGTATATGTGTACCTGTATGTCTCACAACTCTCATCTCAAACCTTAAAGTTACTTGGATGGGAAAAAAAGCTGCTTATTTGCTTAATTAACTAATTGAGGAACTCTGTTGTCTCTTTTTAGGAGCCCGAGAAACAGATTATCCTGCAGGAGAAGAACTTTCAGAATCTGGTCAGGTGGACAAAGCATCTTTATGTGGAAGCGTGACCAGCAACAGCTCAGCAGAGACGGATAGCCTTTTGGGAGGCATCACAGTGGTCGGTTGCTCCACCGAAGGTGCAGTAGGAACTGCCACCTCCCCTAGTACCAATGGTGCTTCTCCAGTAATAGAAAAGCCACCAGGTAAACCTGTGCCAACTGTGAGCCTACCCCAGGATGCCTCAGTGTGTGCTTATATATCATAAAGTGACAGGATGAATGGATTGGAGAAAAGATAGTATAGTGATCATTATGTGAATCATGGGTTTTCAATTTCATAACATAGGGTGAAGGAGGAGGGGGTAGAGGGGTGGAGTCTTTTAGCAGAGGTTTATGCAGAAAAGTATTACAGTGGGAAAGCCCAAACTCTGAATGATTTTTTTTGGTTTGTTTTTTTTGTTTTGTTTTTTGGGTTTTTTTTTTTTATGTATTTTACAGAAATGGAGGTGGAGAACAGTGAGGTTGATGAAAATGTTCCAACAGCCGAAGAAGCAACTGAAGCCACAGAAGGCAATGCAGGGTCCACTGAAGATACTGTGGACATGTCCCAAAGTGGCGTGTACACAGAACATGTTTTTACAGATCCATTAGGAGTTCAAATCCCAGAAGATCTCTCCCCAGTCTATCAGTCAAGGTATATAACCTACATCAGTAACTTGGGAGACTAGGTATAGTGCTTAATAAAAAGAACCAGGGGGTTGGAGGCATGATTTAGTTTGGTAGAGGGCTAGCCAGTGAACAAAAGCATCGTATACCTAGTTTGAGTCCCAGTCTTAGTCCCCCAAAAAGGAAAGAAAGCCAAACACTGGTGGCTCACACCTATAAATCCTAGCCTACCCAGGAGGCTGAGATCTGAGGATCATAGTTCAAAGCCTGTCCAGGCAGGAAAGTCTCTGAGGCTCTTACTTCTAATTAACTACCAAAAAAGGCTAGAAGTGGACTTGTGGCTCAAGTGGTAGAATGCTAGCCTTAAGCTCAGGGACACCACTGAGGCTTAGTTCAAGCCCTAGGAATGAAACATACATACACACATACAGTTTTCACCAGGTACTGGTCATCCTAGCTACTCTGGAGGCTGAGATTTCAGGATTGAGGTTTGAAGTCAGCCTGGGCAGGGAAGTCTATGAGACTCATATCTCCAGTTAAGCACCAAAAAAAGCCGGAAGTAGAGCTGTGGCTCATTCAGACCCCAAGTTCATGCCCCAAGACCAGCGCGCGTGCGCAGGCACACTCACACACACACACACACACACACACACACACACACAATTAGAAGTCTTATCCATAAAGTATATCAGTCAAAATCTTCTGGTCATTTTCCCTTCTTTCCTCTGGTATAATTTTTTATCTTCTATTCTGTTTATAATTCATTTTTACCATATTCATTCCCACTCCAGTTATCAGCAAAATGGGGTATCATTTACATTTGTCATTGTTTAGTTTTTTCAGATGAGCTTAAGTGACTTTTTTCTCCCCAGTACCAGAAATTGAACCCAGGGCCTTATACCTTTTAGGCACACTGTTTACTACTTGAGTTATGAGTTATGCCACAAATCTGTATGTCATCAATTCTTTTGTTTTCATTTTGTATTTGAGATATTATTATCTTCCTACATAGCAAAGGCTGATATTGCACTCAAGATCCGCCTGTTTATTTGCCTCTCTAATAGCTAGATTATAGTTGTGCATCACCTTGAGTGACCTTTTTTATTTAGTTAGCTTTTCTACGTTCATTTTATTGAAAAAATAATCAGGCCTGGAAGTGCAAAGCCTATAATAACTTCAACATGTAATAGGCTGAGACAGGAGTATCATGAATTTGAGGCCAGTCTTGGCTATATAAGAAGGCCCTGCCAAAGAGAGAGAGAGGAAGGGAAATATAGATATAGATATACACATTTCTATAGATATATAGATTTATAGGTATATATATAGAGAGATTTATTTTAGGTTCTTTCTTTAAAAAGTTGGTTACTGTAGGCCCCTTTTATGAATTTGTTTATTCTCTTTCAAGATCTCCTTAATGGAAATCTCTAAACTGGATCCTTTTTCAAAAGTCTTAGTACTTAGTTATTAATTCAGGACTAAACATATTTTGACTTTGATAACTTAGTTACATATCTCTAAGTGTATCCTGACAGGGGCAGGGAAGATGGCTCAGTGGTAGAGTGCTTGCCTTGCATGCACGAGGCCCTGGGTTCAATTCCTCAGTACCACATAAACAGAAAAAGCCGGAAGTGGTGCTGTGGCTCAAGTGGTAGAGCACTAGCCTTGAGCTGACGAGCTGAGGGACAGTGCCCAGGCCCAGAGTTCAGGCCCCACTACCGATGGGGGTGGGGGGGAATCATTTGGAGATAGAACATAAGCAAATTTTAGTTAATATTACAAAATTCCTTTTTTTGTGTGCCAGTCATTAGGCTTAGAAATACCTGCCCCCCCTCCCCCACACACACACCCAGGCCCTGGGTATTGTCCCTGAGCTTTTTTGCTCAAGGCTATCACTCTACCACTTGAGCTGTACTTCAGACTTTTTGATAGTTTAATGGCAATTAGAATCTTAGATTTTCTTGCCAGGATTGGCTTCAATCCTCAATCTCTAGCTCTTATCCTCCTGAGTAGCTAGGATTACACATATGAGCCACCAGTACAAAGTTCTTTAAATGTAACATATTGTGTGTGAGTGTGTGTGTGTGTGTGTGTGTGTGTGAGAAAGAGATTAAGAAAAGTCTTCCCACAGGTATAAGTGGTAGACACTTCTCCCACCTCACCCTACCCCTAGAAGAATCTGTTGTTGTAAACCAAAGTAACTATAGAGGAGAATCCTAATTTTAGTATATGTATAAACTGGTTTCATTGCCATTACTTACTCCCTTATCTATACTTGGAGCCTCCTAATTTGCTAATTTTTCTGGTATAATTGTTCATATATTTAATATAAGCATTTAACATTCACTTTTCTGAAGTTTTATTGTTTTGTTTTTGTTTCTGACGGTATAAATTTAAATGTAGAAATATTCAGTCCCTGAACTCTATACCTAATTACATACTCGGTTTTTTTTTCTTACACTCTGTCTTCCCAGTAATGATTCAGATGTGTATAAAGATCAAATATCAGTATTGCCAAATGAACAAGACCTGGTGAGAGAAGAAGCTCAGAAAATGAGTAGTCTTTTACCAACCATGTGGCTTGGAGCTCAAAATGGCTGGTAGGTCTCAGTACTTCTACCATGACAAAATCTTTAATCCTGACATTTTCCTTTTGAAAGAAAAACATAAATAAGTAAAATATATAAGTACAAATGCAAACAAATATGAATTAATATGAAGTTTTTTTTATTCTGTCGTGGGGCCTGAACTCTGTCTGGGCCTGGGCGCTGTCCCTCATTCTTCAGCTCAAGTCTAGCATTCTACCACTTGAGCCACAGTGTAACTTCCAGCTTTTTCTGCTTATGTGGTACTGAGGAATTGAACCTAGGGCCTCATGCATACAAGGCAAGCACTCTACCATTGAGCCACCTTCCCAGCCCCTGAAGAATTTTTCTGTTTGTTTGTTTGTTTTTGTCAGTTATGGGGCATGAACTATGGGCCTGGGTGCTGTCCCTCAGCTCTTCAGCTAGCACTCTATCACTTGAGCCATAGCACCACTTCCAGCTTTTTCTAAGGAATCGAACCCAGGACCTCATGCATGCAAGGCAGGCACTCTACCACTGAGCCACCTTCCCAGCCCTGAAGAATTTTTTATACACAAGATTTAAGGTTTTGTTGCAACTGTCTCAAACTAGATTTGTAATGGTTCTGCATGGTAAACTGTATTTTTTGGTCACAGAATGCTCTTTATGTACTTAGAAGAGGTAAAGAAAATTTTAAAGTCTGTAATTTACAAATAGAAGAGAGACAAAGTTATTGATATATAGGCTCTCTCTTGGCTTTTTCTGCTCATGGCTGGCACACTATTTACCATGTGAGCTATGCCTCCAGTCAAATGTTTTGCTGGTTAATTGGACATAAGACTCTTGAGGACTTTTTATTGCGCTGGCTTCTACCTATGATTGACTAAGGTGTTTGGCTTCAGAAAGATCTAATCCCAAACACAACTATTTGATAAAATTACTAGAGACTAGAACAAATTACTATGTCTGAAAGCTCAGATGGAAACCAAATCACATGGTTTGTTCACTTTCTACTTGTGTAGATAATCTCAAAAACCTGTTTTTAAACAGTTAAGAAGGTCACAATGTGCTTCCATAGGGGTTCAATATTATAAAAGAGGAGGTCAGCAAACCTAGTGGAACTTTATATATGGACATGAAAATTTGAATTTTATTTAAACCTTATGCCATGAAATATTCTTTAATCATCCCATAGCCATTTAAAAATATAAAAACTGAGCCAGGCGCTGGTGGCTCACACCTGTAATTCTAGCTACTCAGGAGGCTGAGATCTGAGGATTGAGGCTCAAAGCCAGCCTGGCAGGAGAGACAGTGAGACCGTGAGACTCCTATCTCCAATAAACCACCAGAAAACCAGAAATGGCACTGTAGCTCAAGTGGTAGAGTGCTCACCTTGAGCTGAAGAGCTGAGGGTTAGCACCCAGGCCCAGAGTTCAAGCCCTGCGACCGACCAAAAAAATAAAATAAAACAAAAACTGCTCTTCAATTCTAGACTGTACTAAAGCAAGTAGCAGACTAGATTTGTCCAGCACAGGCTGGAACTAACTGATGCCATTAAGTGATATTCTAATATCACCAGCCTCTCAATTTCTGAATGTTTCTGTTTGTTTGAACAGCCTATTTGTCTGACTTGGGCCTACCCTGACTTTCATTTTTGTTTGCTTTCTGACTATTGTGCAAAAGCAGCAGTACTTTTTCCTAAAATTTGAACGTTACTCTTCTTTCCTCTTTGTGATCATTATTTACTATTAGCTGTAAGCAGCATCTTGATACTCTCTAGGCCTCACCAGTCTTGACTTTCTTCCTGCAGTTTATATGTCCACTCATCTGTAGCCCAGTGGAGGAAATGTCTCCATTCCATTAAACTTAAAGACTCGATTCTCAGTATTGTGTAAGTTTTATTTATTTTTTATTTCTTCCCTTTAAAAGTATTTATTTTGGCATAACCTACATTTTAAGACTAGTAAGTAACATTACATATATTATGTCTAAATCAATACCCAAGTTTAATTGGTTCAATTGTTTTTAACTAGAAGAATTAAGAATGAAATTCTGCAATAGAAACTGAAGTACAAAAATTTAAGTATAAGCAAACTCTTGCCAGATTGATTCTTCACTTACTTCAAGGAAAGGATCAATACCTATTAGTTTATATTTGTTTTATTCTTTTTTAGTTTCTGAATATGTCGTTTGGTATATTAGTTCACTGGTCCTTTCTATGTGTTGACTATTAAAGTTCTTGCAGGTTGTATTTAATTCCACAGAGTGAACTCTGTTAATTCCACTCAGGGTGTGTGTCTCTGGTTTGTAGAATTGTGTTGGCCACCTGCAATAAGAAGAAGAGTTTAGGCTACAAAGTCAACAACTGATGTACCACACAGACTGTTGATTTATTTTAGCCAGCAAGTGTTTATAGCATGATGCTCACAGTAAGACAGTGCTTTCATTGAAGTGTTGTGTCAGTGCCTCTTCGCATGGAAAACTGGCCTCTGAGTAGACTGCAGTAATACAATAGTATGTGGTTTCTTCTATGTTCCTCATGGAGGTTCTGAAATCTCTCTTTTTATTTGTAGGCATGTGAAAGGAATTGTGTTAGTGGCCCTGGCAGATGGCACACTTGCAATCTTTCACAGAGGAGTTGGTGAGTGGTTAGGAATGTGTAACATGTACACTGATTTGTTGCTTTGCAAAGCATCTTCAAGCAGGTTGCTTTATTTTGTCATAAAGAAGATACTTAAGAGGACAAAGAATAAGTTTTATATGAATATTTGAATACCCTTAAAGAAGTGTGGGTTTACAGAGTACCTCATATATTTACTCAATTAGGAAAAAATAGGGTATTTTTTCTTTTGTCCTTTTTTTTTTTTTCTCTCAGGTCAGTCATGGTCCTGAACTCTGGATCTGTCCCTCAGCTCTTCAGCTCAAGGCAAGGGCTCTACCGCTTGGGCCACAGTGCCACTTCCGGCTTTTTCTGCTTATGTGGTGCTGAGGAATTGAACCCAGGAACACTGAGCCACCATTCTAACCCCCCCACCTTTTTTTTTTTTTTTGGCTGATTGTGGTGGGGCTTGTACTCAGAGGTTGGACACTGTTCCTGAGCTCTTTTGCTCAAGGCTAGCACTCTACTACTTTGAGCCACAGCTCTACTTCTGATTTTCTGGTGGTTAATTGGAGATAAGTCT